AACCTACAAACTTTGTTGCTCTGGTTGCAAGTAAAACCTTGTGGTATTTTCATATATACCTCTTCATGTAAGTCACCTTGCAAGAAGGCATTATTAACATCTAATTGATGTAGTTCCCAGCGCTTAATCGAAGCAAGAGCCAGTAATGTCCTCACAGTGACCATTTTAGCAACAGGAGCAAAGGTCTCATGAAAATCAAGCCCTTCAATTTGAGTAAATCCCTTTGCTACTAAGCGAGCCTTGTACCGTTCAACAATTCCATCTGGCTTGAATTTGATCTTATAGACCCATTTGGAATCAATTGCACGTTTGTCAAGAGGCAATGTCTCAATTGTCCAAGTGCCATTCTTCTCAAGTGCAACAACCTCTTGCCTCATTGCTTCTCGCCAGTTTTCATTTTTAATGGCCTGAGAAAAGGATTTAGGCTCATCTACGGAAGAGATGGCTGCTAAATAATTGAGATGAGTGGATGAAAAAGAATTGTAAGAGACACAATTAGATAGAGCATAGGGATCACCTGAGTTAGTTGATTGAGATGGAGCTTGCATAGGCATAACAGACTGGGGCATGGTGCTAACATAATCATCAAGCCTTTGGGGGACACGCCTCTCACGTTGTAGTCGAGGAGGTCGGACTGCTTGATCTTGATCTGGGTGGTTTGCATTGGTCTCCAAATCAATGTCGACAACTTGTGCTTCTTCCATTGTTTCAGAATGGTTTTGGTTATCAATGGTGTTATCTAAGACACTATCATCAGAAGCTAAAAAATGAGTTTCCAAGTTGGGTGGCGTGATACCAGAGCAAGGTGAAGCCACACAATCTTTATAATTATAAATAGATGCATATGGGAAGATTTTCTCATAAAAAACTATATCACGTGAAATGAAAATTTGATTAGTTTCCAAATCATAAACTTTATAACCCTTTTGTCCATAAGGGTAATCGATGAAAACACATTTTGATGCTCTAGAGTCAAATTTTCCACAATTCTTGGTGTGATTATGAGCATAGCAAAGACACCCAAACACTTTTAAATTTGAATAACCAGGAGTTTTACCAAAAAGTTTTCCAAATGGTGTGAGACCCGAAAGAACAGGGGTAGGAGTTAAATTTATTAAATAACCTGCAGTGAGAACACATTCAACCCAAAATTTCAAGGGTAAATTAGCTTGAAATCTGAGGGCACGTGCAACCTCAAGGAGGTGACGATGTTTACGCTCAACAATGCCATTTTGTTGAGGCGTATAGGCACATGATGTTTGTTGTATGATACCTTTCTTAAAACAAAATTCTTTCACAACTCCTTCAGTGAACTCTTTGCCATTGTCACTGCGTATCTGTTGGACACTAGTTTGAAATTGAGTTTCAATCATATGGCAAAAAC